TGGGGTTCACAGGCTCTTAGGTTAATGCTTTTGGATGCAGAAACCTGACGCAGTCACTTCATAGAGTTTAGTTTGTCATCCATCACTTGATATCTTTTTAATCTCTTTATTAGTAAAAAGGCCGTCATCTTTGAACGATTATGCCAGCATAACTGTCATTTGATCTAAGTTTAAAGAATTATTTTGTAAAAATTGCAATATAGTATTAAATAAATGTGTATAATGTTATTGTACTATTTCTAAAAAATATTATTTTAACCCTAAATTTTGAAATAATGTTGCAACCTTGGTTGGAACTGTGTGGCCACTGAAAATATTAGTTTTGACAACAAAAAAAAAAGTTTTGACAACATTTAATTTCAGGTTCGAAAACTAGATGTAGCTGACGGTCCGATTTTCAAAGCTGTCAATGGCTCTAAGTGTGACGGCCCTGTATTGCACATTTCATGTAAACATTCTTGAGTTTCATTCTATTCCTATCTTATTTCAATTCATTGGGGATTGATCAGAAATCTCTTCTTTTGCGGTCCATCTCTTCTGTGGTCTTCTTTCTGTTACGTTCCTCATTTACGTAGTTCACTGACCAAACAACTTATCTTTGTCAGCTCCTGTATGTGGACCAAATGAAGAGTCATCAGACTGCGCAATCTTATGTCCCCCTCAGTCTTGTGACAGCTTGTACGTCGACTACTTATGTGCACAGATGGAATGTAGACCTGGATGCAATTGTGTAAAGGGCTATCTTAGGAACAGTGAAGGCATTTGTATTCCGCGTGAAGAATGTTCTACAAGTTGGTTTTCTTAATATTTTTCCTTATTTGCATAGGTGTTATATGAATAATTATCGTCATTGAATCGATATTTAAATTTTTATCCTTAAAAATTACTACTTAAAATGGCAATGTCAATACTGGAAACTTACCACTATAGGTATACATACATACAATAAGAGGGTTTAAGAGTGCACAGGTTTGTATCTATACATTTAACATCGTCTATTAACGGCAAATACGTATGAAACGCCTTGACCCCATTAGCAATGATGCATTCTATTCTTAACAAAACAAAGGTATGCCACAGGGTTCTACCTTAGGACCGATATAATTTATTCGGTTTACAATTTGTAGGATGCAGAGGTGACGCCAATGCTACGGCGACACCATGTGGAAGTGCTTGTCGACCGACTTGTGCAGACCCAGATAGAGCAAATCGAGCTTGTATTCTTCTTTGTCTTTTAAATGGATGCGAATGTAAACAAGGATATATTTTGTCTGAAAGTGGTGTTTGCATAGATCCAAAAGATTGTCCCGGTGAGTCAATTTTGCAACTAAATAATTTGAAACCAATGGATAATTCTACAATTAATAAACCTTTCCCATTCGTACTTTGAGAAATAATGTTGTTAAAATCATTGCTGCAATTTTTAAACATACTATTTTGTTGTTCTTTTCTTAACAATAAATCTAAATTTAATTTAATTTACATTTGTTTAGGTGGAGCTCCAGTTTGTGGAACTAATCAAACGTATGCTAGTTGTAAAGTGGGCTGCCCTACTGAATATTGTCCCAGAGACGATAGTCGAGCTATGGTAGCTTGTTCTATCGCATATCCTTGTCCAGGCGGGTGTGCTTGTAGTCCAGGCTATTTGTACGAGAGTTATGAAAACCCTCAGTGTGTCTTAGCATCAGACTGTCGTAAGTAATTTTGCACTTATTTAAAACTTTAACATTATAGAATTAAGGTCGTTGTAGGCATCATTGAAATCTGTTGATTGGTCGCATAAAAGCAACTTATTTTAAACTATAACAACATTTTGAATCAATCTTTTTACTTTGGTTACATGTACCTAACCAGATTCATTTTATTTTTTGACATAAATTTTTATAGACGAGAAAAGGCCAAAAAATTCAAATGTAGTTACATTAGTTTTATTTTAGCTGAAGTTGAGTGCACAAGACCAAATGAAGTTTGGGAACGAAACCCGACAACCTGTTTCCAAGAACGATGTGATGAAAGAGAGAGGGAGTGTGTTGATCCATACCCAGTTCCACCAAGATGTGTGTGTGAAAAGGGGTATTATAGGAACGAGAGTGATATTTGTGTTCCTGCTTCTGAATGCCGTAAGTACTTTTTTTGGAAACTTGGCAATTTGCATCGCGTATCAAGCAAACATTAAAACTAGTAGCTCTATGGAAGGTGTTACTGAAAAGACTAGAAAAATCTGTTGTAAGTAATTTTAATTAATTTGAATTACAGCATCATTAGGATGTAAAGGTGACTTCAATGCAACGTTGAGACAGTGTCCAACACCATGCCCGGCTACCTGTGCTGATCCAAATGCAGGAAACAGACCTTGTATTGAGATATGCCTTCCAGAAGACTGCCAATGTAATCCGGGATATGTTCAGAATGAAGACGGAAAATGTATTAAACCTGAAGATTGTCCAGGTCAGACAAAATATAGCTATAGTTTAGTAAATTATAATTTAGCTACATCCGCAAACGGACCAACCTGCTCTTATGCCATGCTATTTTGGGTATCATTTCAGCTAATTTATAAATTTACTCAGCTCAGATTTTGGTTTTGAATCAAACAATGTCCTGAGTACATAAAATAATATAGAATGACTTGCCACTATTTATTCTTCATATTTTATTTTCTGTTTTAGCGACTGAAACTTGCAATGGGGATCCTAACGCAATGTACTCCGACTGTCCCAGTCCTTGTCAAGCCACTTGTGATAACCCAGATACTAATCAGCCATGTGTAAGAAAATGTCTACCAAGTGGTTGTGTATGCAAACCTGGATTTATTCGAAAAGAAAAGAATGGGAAATGTATCGAACAATCGAGTTGTCCAGGTATTTTAAAATTATTCGACATCCATTATAGACGAAAATCGATTTAACCTTTAAGTGATTTGCATCCTGCAAATACATACAAGAAATATGATTTAAAAAAGTGCTTTTTTGAAATGATTACTATCATAATCTAAGAAAAATGATTGTGAACACTGAATCAATAATAATCATATTGTTGCAGTGGATTATGGATGCAATGGTGATAGAAATGCAACAGAAACTGAATGTGGGAGTGGATGTCCAACGACGTGTGTGAATCGATTTAGGAAAAATAGGATTGTCTGTCCAGCTGTATGTCTACCTGGCTGCTCATGTAAACCAGGATACATTCTTACTGATGCAGGAGGAGTTTGCGTCAAACCTAAGGATTGTCCAGGTATAAAGTTAAACAAACTGTAAAATTAAGTCATGTCTTGTATTTATTTTGAATGTGTCATATTGACAGCATGACTGCCTCGTTGGCTGAGTGGTTGCAAGGGTTCGATTCCCGGGTCGGGCAAAGTATTACTGCGTTTTTAAAAATGTCAGTAGTAGCACGGAGTCTGGAAATGTGCCCGGTATATGGCAATAGGCTCACCTCCTATTACATGGGCCTCATAACATAAATAGTGAAAAGTGGGTGTTACATTGTAGTGGCATTAAGTGCCAAAATGTGCACCTCTGCCTATCCCTTATCCCGGGGATAAAAAGGCATGATGTTATGATGTTATATGCTATTGACAGCACTTATTTGAAATTAAAGTAAACTGATATTGTAGTCTAAAACCACCATAATATTTTATTCATCTCAATGATTGGATCCTTATTAAATCTCACACTAAAAGCCTCCCATCATTGCTTGAATTATAACATCATTGATTTCTTCAGTTCCAGAACCTGTAGGTTGCAATGGTGATCCAAACGCAGTATCCAGTGACTGTCCAAGTGCCTGTGAACCGACCTGTGACAATCCCAACTCTAGCCAACCATGTATTTTGATGTGCATGCCTAAAGGATGTGTCTGCAAAAAGGGTTTTGTTCGTGGAAGTAACGGAAAATGTGTGAAAGTGGAAGAATGTCCAGGTATTCATTCAGATGTACAATGTATTTTTTAAACGATGTGGTCTTGTTTGTATATGCCTAAAAAAGAACATCAAAACATTTATAAATTAAAGAGTTTAATGAATTGAATTGAAATTATTTTAGCAGTTGGATGCGGTGGTGATCGTAACGCGACAGCAAGGGATTGTCCAAGTCCATGCCCCTTAACTTGCGCTGATCAGAACAGAAATAAACCTTGTCCAGCTATCTGTCTACCTAGAGGCTGCGATTGCAATGAGGGTTATGTACTGACCGAAGTTGGCGGAAAATGTATAAAGCCTGAAGATTGTCCAGGTAAACAGTATTCAGAGTCTTCTTAGAAAATTGATCATAAGTATGCCGAATCTGGACAAATCTTTAATGATTGAGAATGACTGAAATTAGAATTAGGACAAGTCTGTAATCCATGACTTTAGCATTAATGTCATGGCAATTTTCAAATTGGTGGTTAGTTGCTTTTATACTAATACATTTTCTTTTTCTTATAGCTGAGCCTCAATGCAATGGAGATCGCAATGCAACGTTCAAGGAGTGCCCAAGCGCATGTCAGGCTACATGTGACAATCCTGACTCTGATCAACCATGTATAGACGTGTGTAATCCTGATGGTTGTGTGTGCAAGCAAGGGTATCTTCGGATCGAAGAAGATGGTGAATGTGTTCAGCCGAGTGACTGTCCAGGTGAGAATCATATGTTTTTATAGGATACTTTACATAAAATTACCATAGATATTGTTGATTTCAGTTATTTGGCTTTTATGTAGTTTGGGGAAATTATTGGTGTGTGTGCTTTTCTGGTATCAAGAAATAATCATGTTTGGTCTTTGGGCAATCACACAAATCCTCAGAATATGACTGGGTTTAGTAATTTCCAGTAGATGCCTGTTCTGTTATTTGATTTCTGCATATCTTTTTCTACAGGAGGATCACCAACATGTGGTGCTAATGAAACCTATGTGTACTGTAAAGTGGGTTGTCCAACTAACTATTGTCCTACCGATGACAGTCGGGCTATTGTCGCATGTGACCCTATTTTCCCTTGCCCAGGAGGTTGTTCTTGCAAACAAGGCTATTTATTGCGTAGTAGCGATGATGAGACGTGTATCAAGTCGTCTGAATGTCGTAAGATGCTTTTGATTATTAGAAATTGTATTTAACATAAATTAACAATTAATTTAATGTAACATAAATGGTGAAAAGTGGGTGTTACTTCTGTTTGCACCTCTGCCTACCCCTTCGGGGATAAAAGGCGTGATGTTATGTTATGTTAAATAGCACGGAATATAGAATACAGTGGAAGTAGCTTGAAACAATATTTCTGCCAGAACCGGTGTCGCCAAACTAATACATTTATAATTTACTCATACTATAAATCGGAAATTACGATTGGTTAGAAAAAAAATGGGCGTAAACGAAATGCAAAAAAAATATCATACGATATGCAACTTTAAAACCAATGTACTATAAATCAAAATAAAAAAGTATGTTTTGGACTACCAAGTACCGCCATTCGTCGCTAGATGGCGTTTAACAATGCCATCTAGCGACGAAAAGTGGTACTTGGTTTGAACTTTAACGTTGTAAGAATAAAGGTGATATTTGAATGGCTTATCACTGGCTCGAATGCGGGTCTCTACTCAGATAGTGATGTAGGATAATTCGATAAAAATAATATCGATAATATGAAAATGTGTTTTAAAAATAATATGAAAAAAAATATTGACTGCTATAGTGTGACAGTATTAAAATAATAAAATTAATATGTCGTTGATAACTTTTTAAACGTAACAAAAAAGGGTAAGTATTTATTTACATGTAAATCAAAAACCATTTTGTTCGTATTTTTTATTAGTTTCTTTTTTCAAAAAATCATTTTTTTTATTTCACATAGGCAATATAAGTAACAACTATTACATAAATTTTTACAAACTTTATATGGATAATGTGATAAATGAGAGGGATGGCGATAAGGATGACGGTGCTGATCTGCTCCGTGAAGTGAAGGTTGCTTCCAATCACGTCGGGGTCACCACTAAAATAATAATAAAAAAATAATCTAAATAAATGTTACATTACACTTGCATCGATATCAATCGATAAATTCAATATGTGATTTGACTACATAACTATTTGAGTAGCGTAGAACTGGCGAGAATGTTCTATTGAATGGAATAAATCCAAAATAAACTTTATCTTGAAGGCGTAAGGTTGATTTTGACTAACCGTTTTAGTAAATAATATTATTTTAATAACTGTTTTTGTAAATTGAAATAAAATAAGATTTCTACAAGAAAACAATAAAAATTGTACTTACCGATGATACGGAACACCTCCATTTTTACGTTTTTTCGGCTGCTATCATTTTTACACGCCAAAACGGAACAAAACGGCATAGTTGAGGAAATATGTATTTGACACGAGACTAGCAACTCGACGCCATGTTCGAACGAGACTGAACTCAAATTTGCCTCGAGTAAGCAGTACACAGCTTAGCTGTGGCACGCGTGCCACGCCTACTTGCTACTTCCATTGTATTCTATATTCCGTGTTAAATAGTATTTAAACGTGCGTGTTTGGTCGCAGTAAATAATGTTTTTTCGATACATAAAAAGATAATTTTCTTTTTGTAAGTAATTAATTGAATTGATTGAAATCAGGACGAGTTAATTTATTACTTTTTTGGAATTTCAATGAAAATTGAGATCTTTTAGCTAAAACATTACGGATTTTCAGCTCCAGTTGAATGTACAAGACCTAATGAGGTATGGGAACCTAATCCTTTAAGCTGTTCTTCTGAGCGATGTGAAGATAGAGGTATACCTTGCGACTTCCCATACCCTGTTCCACCAAGATGTGTCTGCATGGACGGGTTCTATAGAAACGGAGATGATGTTTGTGTACCTGAATCTGAATGTCGTAAGTATTCTGAAAGAATTTCAGAACTGAGTCTTTTAAAATTAATGTGCTATGTATCTGTAATATGTCCATTTTGGATATGGACCATGGATATATACAAGAAGAATTGTAGACTACGTATAAGTTTAAAAAAACCGACTTCAATCTCCTCTTTTTTTAAGTCGTTAAATATCAATACCATAAGCGTCTCCTAAGTGTAACAAACACTGAAAACCACATCAAAATCGGTTCAGCCAATCGCGAGATAATCGCGCACAAACAAATACAAGTCAAACTGAGAACCTATATTTTTTTTGAAGTCGGTAAAAATCTTATGGCTTAAGAATGGTTTTAAAATAGGTTTACTTACATGTATTCCGTACTATGGTAATATTTCAGCCAAGACAGCCTGCAAAGGTGATGCGAATGCTACATATTCGGAATGTCCCAGTCCTTGTCAGCCTACGTGTGATGACCCTGACACTGGAGACGTTTGCATAACTGCATGTGATGACCCTGGATGCGTGTGCAACGATGACTTCATTTTGTCTGAACCTGGCGGTGTTTGCATTAGTCCTTACAATTGTCCAGGTTAGAATTACTTTAATTTTGTTTTGATTATTTAATTGTCATCTGTTTAAACAATTTTTCTTTTACATATTCTAATTGATTCTAAAGTTTTGAAAGATTTTACGCTAAAATAATTTAAACGTACCTATATAAGAAATGGTGCTTTTATACACCTAATTTGTCGCGGAGAACCTAACGGGTTACCGGGGCTCCGGCTCGACGTGTAGAAGAAGGAACGGGGTGGTTTTTAGTCAGTAAGAGTCTGACACACCCTCCCGCCTCACCCAGGTGGGAGCAGTCATTCGATGATTTTTCCCCCTTTAAAAAAATACACCTAATTTCACATTTCCTATGTTATCAAAATCAAAGATTGAAAAATTTATGCTAACGTTAATCTTTCTTCTTTAGGTGGATCTCCAAAATGTGGTGTAAATGAAACCTACGCCTCTTGCAAAGTCGGATGTCCCTCTGATTATTGCCCAAAAGATGACAGCCTTGCTACTGTCATATGTGATCCTGCATTCCCATGTCCTGGTGGCTGTGTATGCAAACGAGGTTATATAAGGCTCAGCGAAGAAGACAATAGATGCGTCTTGTCTTCTGAATGTCGTAAGTTCTTTGTTTGTTATAATTTTGATTTGATATTGTGCTAAATGTACCTAGATGTTTTAGCTTGAGTAGTCGTCAGTGCGAATGTCGATTTCGATGTTAACTACACCTTAGAGTGCGTCCACATCTGGCGAAAGCTCCTTAAATTCACCATAGAAGTTATAACTGACAAAAAGTATTATATTTTATTTATTTGCCAATAATTGCTTGTTAACCTCATCATACTCCTCTTGGATTATAAATTACACATTTTTGACATTTTAGCACCCGTCGAATGTACCAGAGAAAATGAAGAATGGAATACCAACCCCCCAAGTTGTTCTGCTGATAGATGCGAATATAAGGATGTACCATGTGACTTCCCCATACCTCTTCCACCGAAATGCACTTGCATTGAAGGATACTACAGAAATAACAATGATGTTTGTGTCCTAGAATCAGAATGCCGTAAGTATATTCAATGTCGAAATAATATTACTGCTTATGGTATGGTAGATAAAGTTTATTTCATAACGAAATTCATATCTGGTCTTCTCTAATCAACCTGAAGTAGATTACCTACCTGAAGTACCTATTATACGTTACTCTGTCCATTTCCTTTCGTAGAAGTATTTTCATGAAAATCGGTAAATTGAACACAATAATAGTATTCTTCTCACAATATCTGAAACTATGTACATATTATTAAGATATCTTAATTATTCCAGCTACACCAACATGCAATGGCGATCAAAATGCAACATTCTCTGATTGTCCCAGTCCATGTAAACCAACTTGCGATAGCCCGGACTCTGATGTTATATGCATTGACGTGTGTGATGATCCTGGTTGTGTGTGCAATGAAGGATTTCTTTTAACTGAACTTGGTGGCAGCTGTATTAATCCCTATGATTGTCCAGGTAAGATTCATATTAAGTAATTTAAGTAAACTCTCCATAATTAGTCGTCCATGCATGAGGACGCGGGTTCGAAACCTACCAACGGTATGCACCAATATGACTTTTTCCAATTTATATATATACTTTTTGAATTATTTAGACACCACTCACAAAAGGTGAAGGAAAATATCGTGAGGAAATCTGAGCTTATTTATAATTTCCAATTATAAGTTTGAAATCGCCAATCAGCTTTGAGCAAGCGTGGTGATTAATTCTTAAACCTTCTCCGTGTGAGTGCCTTTGGTCAGCAGTGGGCATTTATAGGCTGTTGATGTATTAATGTATGACGTAATTTGTCCTCCACGCCAAATATATTAACTACCTTTGGCTCCCCGTGATTCTGAACATGTTACTTATGGAAGTGGGAGGTCTGCCCACTATTGTTGGTTTTCTAAACACATTCAACTTCTTTTAAGATTTTTTTTGCTTGCATTGCCACTCTCCTGTAGTATATGTAGATATAACGTCTAATGTTTCGAATTTTAAATGTCTCAAAATTTCATTTTAGGAGGATCTCCACAATGTCCTACAAACAAAACATATACGAGTTGCAAGATTGATTGTCCAATGAGGTACTGCCCTACAGATGTGAATGAGACTCCAAGGATCTGTGATCCATTATGGCCGTGTCCTTCTGGCTGTGAATGTGCACCTGGATATTTGATGCTGAATTCTATTGATCAAACGTGTGTCTCAGCTTCTGACTGTCGTAAGTATTTACGAAGCCTTAGCTCTGTATCATACAAACTAGTTGCATACTCATCGTCATTACATCAGCCCCGAGATGTCTACCACTCAACATAGGCGTTCTCCAATGACTTAAAGATCAATCAAAATGTTTATGAAAGCATACTAAAGTTCTGAGAAAAAAATCATTAGAAAACCAACGCTGTGTATTTAGATATTTTTAAAGTAAAATGTATTCGAATATCTAATTTCAAATTCAAAGCAATTTGTTTTAAATAACAGCTCCCTTGGAATGTACCGGTGAAAACGAAGAGTGGAACCGAAGTCCTCCAGATTGTGACTTCGACAGCTGCGAGAATGTAAACAGCGCCTGTAATAGTATTCTCCCTGGCCGACCAAGGTGCGCCTGTAAGGAAGGTTACTGCAAGAATCAGGACGGTGTGTGCGTACCTGTGCCAACCGAAGATTGCCGTAAGTGATTTTTGTATAGCTTATGTTATTTATATTTTGCATTTGAGTCAAAACTCAACTGTTGGTAACAGAAGTTTGAGTCGCATTGGAGTTTGAAAATCTTCGTGTCTACTTAGTTCTGAATAATCATCATATTTCTTACTTCTATCAAAATATACTGTAAATCTTTCTTTCAAATTTCTCGCTTGCAATTCACTGATAGAATAACTCTTGGACACATTATTACCATATTTTTCATTTGAATTTTGCTAGAAGTCGGAGAGATTTCATTCATAAATCTGTTGTAACAAAAAGGGAAAGTTTTATCGTATGAAGAATGCATTTGACGCCATTTAAAACTTTTGTCGTCTCTGGTCATAGCTCTCGTAATCCTCTTTTATGCAAAGTGCTGTCACTAGGTCTAGATTATGAGAATATTTTTAAAGAAATTGCATTTTGCGGTAGCTCGTGGAATACCTAAGTTGAATATTCTTTGTTAAAATTATCAATTTTTGACTTGGTAATTACGATAAACCGCTACTTCTTTTCTTTGGTGTGATGTATTAAAAATTCTAATGGACAAGTGAACGTCGATCTTAAATTCTGTCGACTAAACAGTTATTTAGTTTTTTTTTGATTTATTATTTGACTTCAACTATTTGACTACTGAGTTAAGCATATTGAAAATAAGACTTCTGTTCGCATCCTGCAACAAAAAACACATCAGTTAAGTTCCCCATAGCCTCGGATAAATAAAGCTATATATCTATCTACCGATTTTCATGAAAATACTTCTACGAAAGGAAATGGACAGAGTAACGTATAATAGGTACTTCAGGTAGGTAATCTACTTCAGGTTGATTAGAGAAGACCAGATATGAATTTCGTTATGAAATAAACTTTATCTACCATACCATAAGCAGTAATATTATTTCGACATTGAATATACTTACGGCATTCTGATTCTAGGACACAAACATCATTGTTATTTCTGTAGTATCCTTCAATGCAAGTGCATTTCGGTGGAAGAGGTATGGGGAAGTCACATGGTACATCCTTATATTCGCATCTATCAGCAGAACAACTTGGGGGGTTGGTATTCCATTCTTCATTTTCTCTGGTACATTCGACGGGTGCTAAAATGTCAAAAATGTGTAATTTATAATCCAAGAGGAGTATGAAAATGCTATACAACAATACAGTTCAAAACACTTCTAAAGAAGAACAAGTAAACAAAAGGCAGACGTATCGTGTTGGACAAGGAGTATGGAGACAAAGAGTACTGACAGTTTCTTCTTCACCTTAACCTAGTATGTCCAATATTGAGTATTAACCAGATCATGGCTAAATAACAGTATTTTCGTAGTCACAGTCGCTGTAGTTGCTACCCACCGGAGCCAATTTAAGATTGAAAATTAAGCTAAATTTATTGCAAGATCCTTCATTAAGCCCATCGTTCAATGTTTAGATATCTCACTAATAATAATGACTATCACAGATATTGTTATGACATCGGGGGCCCGCAACATGCTTTCCAGAATAGGGGATTAAATACACAAAAAAGTTTTAATGAACAAAATCGCCATGCATTAAAAAGTATCTTCCTGCAGTTAGGACGCACTTGGACACCTTCACATAGTTTAAATAGGTATATTGTTTGTAGTTTTAAATAATTCAAGCTAACTAATGACGACGTCACACATACCAATTTCAAGCACAGAAGAATGCTTCAATTGAGCACTAGGCGTTTAGTAACATGTATGTCAGAATGTTGCTCAAAATTAGCATGCTCATTTCGGGCATGCTTGCAAATGAACATGCGTTCAATTTTTGATCATGCTCAATAGAACGCTTGTTCGCGTGCTATTTTAGAGCATATTTAACTACCTTAACGCTTGCTTACCGTTGCAGCATATCAATGCAGTTCAATGGAAACTTTTCAACGGTAAATTCCACATAGGTGCCACTCTATGACTCCATACCTCCATAATCCATGGCATGCAACTTAGTAACGGGGACTGTCACTCCATTATGTCAGAATAGGGACGCTAGGGATGTGCATTAATGTCTATATTGAGTTACCCGGGTAACGTACAACCTGATATCCTTTTTGTTGGTAATTCTTAATTGCATTGGCGCGTGGTCGCGTATATGAAAATCGGTAGATAAATAAAGCTAAACTCAATACCATTTGTCGCGGAGAACCTAACGGGTAACCGGGGCTCCGGCTCGACGTGCAGGAGAAGGAACGGGGTGGTTTTTAGTCAGTAAGAGTCTGACACTCCCTCCCGCCTCACCCAGGCGGGGGCAGTCATTCGATGATTTTCCCCCCTTAAAAAAAAAAAAAAAAAAAAAGCCTCGGATAAATGTATTGCTACCTTCCATTAGACCAAAACAATTTGATAAACATTCGAACGCTTAAAAACCACAATGCAAATATTGTTTAGAATTTTACGAATATCCCAACAGGTAACATGTAGCTTGAATTGCTTTGTTCGAAAGCCTTCGAGCGAATAACATGGAACTGAAAAGAGGAAATAAATCCCGGCTTTTTGGAAGGAAATTCGATGGCTTAGGTGGAAACCCAAGCGAAACAAGTTCCTGCGACTAAAGTAAATGTAATAGAAAATATTTTCGGAGTTGGATTAGGGTTTGACACTATTTCCTTCAATAGATAATGTTTGTGTGGCTTAATAGGGTTAGACGGGGTGTAACAATAAAATCAGTCGATTTACTTTAAAAGAAAATGGACGTGTGTATCATAATCAATTGTTTTCATTTTTTCTCGTGGTTTTTGGGTACATTTGCAAGTAGGTACGTAGTTTTACGTACCTACCCAGTTTGTCCAAATCCGAAACAATAACTGAAAAAGCGAATGTGATATTATAATAATGATATTAAAATAAATAAGTAAATTTAATTAAATTAGATTATATTCTGCTTTCATGTAATAATATTGCCGTGCTCTAACCAGGTTTTATGTTGAAACTGTCTTTACCCAATTATGTAACACCTATTGTACACGTGAATGATGCAATAATAAATTGAATTTTAACAATTTTTATATAACTAAAAGAGTTGTTCCGTGTGAGTATCGAACCCTTGATTGTGCAATGATCAGTCGCCCCACTGTGCCAAAAGTATAATAATTTTGCTTGCTTCAAATTATTATTATCCTGTTACACGTGGTCGAAGTAATCGGATAATTAATTAATTGGCAATCGAATCGTGTTTAAATTAATTATTCATTAATTTTTATTTTTGCAGACACGTCTAATTAATTTAATGTGACTTTTTAAATACGTACGTTCTTTGTTTATTTTGCGAATTATGTCTGAAACATCAGGTTTTAATCAAAGTGCAGTAATTCGGTTTAATTTAAATTGTAAAATTAATTAATTGTGAAATGGATCAGAATACTGTTCATTTATACTTTGCGTATTGTTGATTAAAATAAACGGCAAGGTACTTTGGATGTATTTTTTTTTAGTAAGCAATCGGCGTCGCCCATGGACACCTGGAATTCCAGAGGCGTTACAAGTGCGTTACCGGCCTTTTGGGATTAGGAATTTGAGGATTGTTAGGCATTCAGGGATTGGGAAAGGGGGATGAGGTAATTGGGCCTCCGGTAACCTCTTTTACACGACGAAACACAACCCAAGCGTGGCTTCGCGTCGGTCTTCTGTGGGGCCGTGTTATCACTCCGGTCGATCCGGCCCATTCGTGCGGAAGCATGGCTCTCCCACACTTAGAATGCTTGGTGGGGGGTAGGTTGAATTAGTTAATTACAAATTATTCTTTGGTGGTTCGGTGCGTTATTTCAGTTTTATACAACATTCAATTCCGCTAGAAATTTTTAACGAATATCTAATCTTTGACAAATTGATCATGCTGCAACTTTACTGTATGTTTTAAACTTCAACATTCTATATTATATAAATTATACATTTAGACAAAAATAAATTATATTATAAACCGTAGAAAACAATACGAGCATTTTTACAGTCGAACCAACTTCATGTCGAACTATGTATACGCGACCACGCGCCAATGCAATTAAGAATTACCAACAAAAAGGATATCAGGTTGTACGTTACCCGGGTAACTCAATATAGACATTAATGCACATCCCTAGCGTCCCTATTCTGACATAATGGAGTGACAGTCCCCGTTACTAAGTTGCATGCCATGGATTATGGAGGTATGGAGTCATAGAGTGGCACCTATGTGGAATTTACCGTTGAAAAGTTTCCATTGAACTGCATTGATATGCTGCAACGGTAAGCAAGCGTTAAGGTAGTTAAATATGCTCTAAAATAGCACGCGAACAAGCGTTCTATTGAGCATGATCAAAAATTGAACGCATGTTCATTTGCAAGCATGCCCGAAATGAGCATGCTAATTTTGAGCAACATTCTGACATACATGTTACTAAACGCCTAGTGCTCAATTGAAGCATTCTTCTGTGCTTGAAATTGGTATGTGTGACGTCGTCATTAGTTAGCTTGAATTATTTAAAACTACAAACAATATACCTATTTAAAATATGTGAAGGTGTCCAAGTGCGTCCTAACTGCAGGAAGATACTTTTTAATGCATGGCGATTTTGTTCATTAAAACTTTTTTGTGTATTTAATCCCCTATTCTGGAAAGCATGTTGCGGGCCCCCGATGTCATAACAATATCTGTGATAGTCATTATTATTAGTGAGATATCTAAACATTGAACGATGGGCTTAATGAAGGATCTTGCAATAAATTTAGCTTAATTTTCAATCTTAAATTGGCTCCGGTGGGTAGCAACTACAGCGACTGTGACTACGAAAATACTGTTATTTAGCCATGATCTGGTTAATACTCAATATTGGACATACTAGGTTAAGGTGAAGAAGAAACTGTCAGTACTCTTTGTCTCCATACTCCTTGTCCAACACGATACGTCTGCCTTTTGTTTACTTGTTCTTCTTTAGAAGTGTTTTGAACTGTATTGTTGTATAGCATTTGTTTTTCTCTATTGTTTCC